GTTTGTTTAATTACAGTTGAACTTTGAAAATGTCTTTAAATAATGGGTTGCTTTTAATTTAATCAAATTACTAGGCATAATATAACTACAAATCAACTTGGAGGTGGATGTTTATTGTATACAGAGTGTTACTTATGTAGTAAATGATCACTTTTTAACTCATGTGGAAATAATTGGACTTTGTTTACAGAAAGCCACAAAGAAAACTGATAAACCCAGACAAGAAGATAAAGATGATCTAGACGTAACAGAGCTCACTAACGAAGATCTTCTGGATCAGCTTGTGAAATATGGAGTGAATCCTGGTCCTATTGTGGGTGAGTTGATAAAATTTTAAATATCTTTTCTATGAAGCAGGGTCCTAAATTGTTATCTCCTCTTGCCTAGTAGTCAAAGTTTGGGTTCTTAGGGTGTCTTTCATCAATCATTTATATGACCAGGACCTTACATTCTTTAATTCTAAGTGAGGGAAATAAAGTGAGAGGATTGAACTAGATAATCTCCAAAACTACCTCTGTTGTTGAGATTGTTTCATATAGTGCTCATGTCATACTACTTGAGGAGAGAGATTGTCTTACATGACAGTTGATGAAAATCCGAGGTAACGTACCTGGCTAAATTCATCCAAATCAGTAAGTTAGTGACAGACTTGAGTTGTTAATATAACTCAGGTTATTCATTTCCTAGCATTCGACCCTTTTTCAGTTATCATTAATGCATCCTGTCTTGATTGGAATTCAAGAATTATACCCTAAAGAACAAACTTAGAAAAGAAAACATAGAACTAAATACACCATCGTTGGGTTATTTTTGAGTGATGATCTTGCAAGGTTGATTATCCCTTAGTTTCGGAGGGTCTCAGTACTAACCTCAAGATGAGAAAAATAAATTTTGATCATTTAAGGTGCGTAAAATTTTGAACACTGGAAGTTTGGTGGGTTTTGCTATAAGGCATAGTTGCAAATCAGGATTTAGAATGTTTAGTTTTATTTAATATACTGCTTCCAAACAGATAGAAATAAGCCTATTAATATAGTTACCAACAGACATTTGATACCTTTTTCATTTTTCATTTGGAATTCCAAAGGGAGACACTGAAAAATGTGTGTTATATATCAGCATACACTAAATTACAACTTGGTATACCAGCTGTTGATCTTAAGGCTACTTATATAACCATTTATAGATATGTGTTGTTGTTTCTAGAAAATAATCATTGTCATTTTACTCATCTTACAGAAATCAAGGGAAAGGACTGCTAGTGTAAAACAAAATAAAGGTTTTCGGTTTTAAATTGTCATTGATGTTGAAATGTGTTAAGAATTTGTAATCAGATTGCTTTGCTATCTAATTGGTATATAATTTCTTTTTGTAATTTGTGTTTTTCATGAACAGGCATTTTAACTGCAAAGAAGTTATATTTAAATGTGACTTATGGAACTTTTCTCCATAACTGAATGGCTGTTTGTTTATAGGCTTATTAATTTCTTAGTATTAATTTTTTAGTATTCTTCAGAGGGGTGTAATCTGTTTATAAAAAAGGTTTTTCTACATAGACAGGTACTATTACATAGCGATACAAAGTCCAAGACTTTGTCAGAAATACTCAGGTTACATGGCTCTTTAGTAGGTTATTTCTACAGTAAAACCTGTATCAGTCTACTGTGTATTTCATGCTATTAAAAGAAACGTAATCACTTATTAAAACCCAGAAAACACCAATTTTAGAAAAGAGTATATTACATACTATTTTTAAACACTTAAGTTTAAAAAAGGAAAAGGTGAAAAAGTTTTAAGCGTACAATGTTCCTAAAGATAGTATCTGGGCTAGATTTAAATAAGACAGTGCAAGTACTAAAGCAAGTTCTGCCTCAATTTAGGAACAACCAGGAAGCTATATGAGAAAAAGTTGATGAAACTGAGGGAACAAGGGACAGAATCAAGATCTTCTACTCCTCTGCCAACAATTTCTTCTTCAGCAGAAAATACAAGGCAGAATGGAAGTAATGACTCTGACAGATACAGTGACAATGAAGAAGGTAAAATATTAAATGGTATTAATCAAATATATGTAATTAAGGTTTTAAATTAAAATTCAACTCTGGTGAAATGAAAAAAGGTAAAACTG